AGCTGCTGGGGCAGCAGGACAAGCGCCCCATGCCTTCTGTGAGCTCTTTGGTGGGAGCTGGGGGAGACATCCTGGGGGAGACTATCTCTCTCCAGTGATAGTGCCCAGAGACTGCCAGACTCACTTATGGGAAGTCAAGGGAGATGGCCTCAGCTAACACAGAGAGAGATACAAGGCAAGACTTCCTAGCAGCTTTGTATCTAGTGTAAGGCACTCGTGGCCAATGGGGTTTCTCCTTTCTTGGAGTGCAAGGGAAAACCACCTCTCTCATATGGCGTGAATATTTTCCTGCTTTACCAAATACTGAAGGGTCACTCTTGGCCTCTGCAATGGTCAACATCTTACAAACACCATCTGTAATCCTTGAAACAACTGGATAAGGGCAGCTTATTACAATTACCCCCTAGTTACAGCTGATGACATGAGGCTCAGAGAAGTTAAGTGACTTGCCCAAGGCCACACAGCCAGTGGCAGATCGGAATGCAAGTCCAAGTCTTTTTGGTTCCAAAACCTGGACTCCTCCCATTATATCAAAGTATCTGTGAACTACGTGATTACTTCGTTGGGATTTTTCCAATTCCTTGAGTAAGGCGCCAGCTCATGCTGAAGAGGCTGCTGCTTCTGTGACCCCAGGGTTTGCTGGCCTGGATGGGGGCCAGTCAGGAGCCTCCATCTGGGTTTGTCCATGAGGCTCCCCTCTAGCCACTACTATTGTTCATCCTTAAAAACTCGACACATGGACCCAAGGCTTAATCATCAACCCATTTTATAGTAAGGGGAACGGAAGCACCTGCCCCCAGTCACCCGCAGTGGGTCTGGGCAGGATGACACCTGGAAGCCAGCCTCCTAGTGTTTTTTCCCACCCTAGAGCAGGACATCTAGTCGTGAGCTTCTCTCTGACTCATGGGCTCTCACCCTTATGCGGGTGTGACTGAGGATGGGGCATCAGAACATTCCACCCAGAATCTCACAGCTCCCCTGCAAGCCCCTCACCCCCATCCCTCCGGGATCCAGCCCTCCCCGCTCCCCTGCCTAAGAACTGTCCTTAGGATAAAGCCAGGGTTCCTTGGAGTGGCCTCCCAGGCTCTGCCTGACCTGAATCCTGCCCTCCCTTTTC